CCAAAAATTCCAAAAATGTCGACTGCCAGCTTCAGCTCTCCCGCTGTGAGAAGCAGAGCCAGACCTGCGTCCCCCCGTGATGGACGTGTCGGGCTCATATTTGGTGTAACAGATCCGGAGGAGGACACTCTACCCCTGCAGTCACCCACCACCTCCTCACAGGAATACAAAAATACAAGCTCCCTGGCATGACAACTATGCCCCAACTTCACCCAGCCTGTGCCCGTCTACCTCCCAGTTCACCTGCAGTGCCCGAGCTCCAGACGCCAACTCAGACAGGGACACGTATGGACCAAATATACCGTAATTTTCAGACTATAACTCGCACTTTTGTTCATGGTTTGGTTGTTTCCTGTGACTTATTCTCCAGCGCGACTTATATATTAAAATGTTGCGAGTGAAGTGTGGAGAGGTTCTAGTCTTTTGTGTGAGTATCTGCTGCTGTCACTTGGCTCTACTGCGCATGTCTCCTGCAGAAAGAGCCACTGTCCTGTCTGTATCATGTCAGTCGGTCGCACCATTACTTCTGCACCACTGAACAATTTAACATTTAAACAAACTTAGAAAAATGACTGAGAAGACTGAACACAAATGCCCCCAAAAAGAAAATCAGATTTTCCAGATTACAAGCTGCAAGTCGTGAAATCTGCAGCTGAAAACGATAATCGAGCAGCAGAAAGAAAGTTTGGAGTGAGAGAGAAACTTGTGACACCGGGAGGATGCACCATGAAACTTTCCTGAAGTCACTGGATGGACAAAGCCTGGACTTCAGTGACACCGAAACCATCCTGTCGGGATTCGGAAAGACCCGAATAATTCTAACTGGAACTGATGCTGAGTCTGACGACAGCAACACAGAAGTGGAAGCGGTGCTCTGTTTACCTCCGGAGATCGAGGAGTTGCTCAGAAGTGATACCAAGGATGAAGAATTGAATGGATTTAATGATTTGGAGTGAGATGGAGAGTTTGGTAAACTTGTTTTGTTCTGTTGTTTATGTTATAGTTATCTGAAGAACTGTTCATATGTGACGTTAACAGTCTGTTGTTCTCTCTCTCTGTTTTTACTCGAACTTGCCTTTCAAAATGAAATGTCAGTTTGTGGTGTCTGATTTTATAAAATAAATTTCCCCCAAAAAGTGCAACTTATAATCTGGTGTGACTTTTATATATTTTTTTCTTCTTCATTACGCATTTTTGGCTGGTACAACTTATAGTCCAAAAAACACAGTAATCATCAAAAACAGTGAATATGTCAAATATGTCGCATAAACGAGTTTCCTTCATCTGAATAAACAACAAAACTGTAGCACTTTAACATAATAATTTTGTAAAATCTATCAAAAAATACTTTTGGCGATATATTGATGCAGCAGCCCACAATATCGATACTGTATCATTAAACTATACAATATATCGATATTTTTGCACACCCCTAGTGTCACCAATTCATGTTCGAGTATTTTAGTGATCTCTCCTGGGTCCCATTTGAACCCTCCTTAGATTCTGTTCAGTGTTCCTCCCACAACATCACCCATGCTCCTGCCCTGCCATTTTTTCGTTAATACATAAATACATACAAAAGCATGACACAAAACAAGACACTACTTATCTGAAGAACTGTTCACATGTGACGTTAACAGTCTGTTGTTCTCTGTTCTATTGTTTTTACTAGAACTTGACTTTTAAGATGAAATGTCAGTTCCTGGTCTCTGATTTTATAAAATACATTTCCCCCAAAAAGAGCGACATTCAGACTGCAGCCTGAAGTGACCCAAATCAAATTTTTTGGCCTCTATGCTCCTGTATCTGATCTTTTAATGACAGTCTGAAAAACACAGATTCAATTTTTCAAATGCGACCCAGGACACTTGTATATGTGGTCCTAAAACCGATACATATCTGATCTTTTGACATGTGACTTCATTCTGAACGGCCAAAGCACATTCATCCAACCTACACGTTATCAACAAGCAACAAACGTCACTATTTTGCGCTGAAGTAGGTGAAAATTGTTAATGAACTCCGTGTCACTGAAGCGAAGCGCATCGCCACTCTTCGCATCCAAACGTTCCTTTCAACGGACTGCCCCACAAAACGTCACGGCCAAAAACCTCATCCATCTCCTTCTCAATCTCCTCCTTAAAACAAGTTGTTCATGTTCTGGCTCTGGTACGAGAAGAACCGCCTCCATGTTTGGACAACTTCCATAAACACTGAGCACGCTCGCTGCGGTTGACGTCGTCTTGTCTCCAGTGCACATGCGGGACACTTTTGGGCCATTTAATGTTCACACTGGAGATCATACAATCAACATACAAGTCGCATTTAATTGGAAATGTGAACGACCTCGCAAAAACATCGGATTTCACAAAAAAATCCAAATTGAGCGTTAAGCCCTGCAGTCTGAACGTAGCCTTATAGTCCGCTGTAACTTAAATATGTTATTTTCTTCTTCATTATGCATTTTTTGGCTGGTGTGACTTATACCAAAAAATACGGTAAGTCTAATTTGAGTAACAGAGCTTCAGACGGAGCAGTGCCTACAGCTAGCATCACACCCCCAACGGAATGCTGCTGCAGAGTCTCAATAGGATAGTGATGAGATTTACAAGGTATTACGTGGCCGACAGAATCCTCGTGAAAGGTCCACAGGCGCCCGCTCCAGACAAGAGGACTGAAGTCGGACATAAATGCAGAGGGCAGTTTTGGGACGGCAACATAAGCAGTTACTTAAATCAAGACGCTCTTCCAGGAGCATAAACAGAAGAGACAAGACTGAAATCTGAACTGATAAACTGATACAAGAAGCATTTCAGAACATGTTTGCGGAGGTCTCAATTATAGGTTTAGCAGACCTTAAGGGACGAGTATTTAAGTTCATTTGCAACATTTACAGTATATATTCTAACAAGACAATAACATCTCATAAAAACTGTGCCTCGGTTAATCTGGTTTGAACTGTTTTGTGTGAATTTTTAGAATGGTATTTTATGTATCAACACATAGTTAAGCAATCACCAAAGATGCAGTAATGCCTTAGTTGGGGTCTCCAATAACTTAAAGGTCTTATATTACTCAAAATTGACTCTTGTGAGCTTTAAGTCGTGTCATAATGCTGTTAGCTGATCAAAAACAGACCTGGAGTTGTGTTTTTTTTTAATTCACGCGTTTGAGTAACACTTTATTATCAGTCTGTCTAAATCTCCAGACCTCAAAATGCTCTGTTCCACCTTGTGATGTCATATAGTGGTAGTTAAAAACATAGACTGTATATATAAATGGACGTAGCCACCGCGTTCCAAATGGGAAGTTCACATCTGGCCTTTTCCGGTTCCTACTGACCTTGGCTCCCATTGACTTACATTAGAATATTGTCTCCCTTCTCTCTGTAACTGCTGCTGTGAGCCTCGGCATTTTAGTCTTAAAATGTTCGTATTAAAATGTTCATATAAAAATGGTATTAACCCACTCTACATGAGCCTGGTGGGGTTTTTTTTTTCAATTTTGTATGTCAAAAAATCCTATCCATAACATGGAGGCTGGCTCCAAAGTCACTCCTGTAACCACTTCATTTAAGTGGAACCGGGTGCTGTGGGTAGCATGACCAGATTATCAAAATCAGAAACTGGGACATCCTTGGTTTGTGATTGGCAATAATAAAATTGCGAAGTGAGTGTGTAATTGAGGAAAACTGTTCTGTGGAAGAAAATGGATGGATGGATGTTCTGCACTTGGCCCCTTCACGACTATACTGTGAGTCAGTATTGTCACATTTTCTATGTGTTTTGGTCATTTTTAAGCAGTTTTTCTGTATTTTACTTGGGGTGTAACGATATCCAACTCTCACGATACGACATTGTCACGGTATGAACGTCACGGTACGATATTTATTGTGATATTGTGGGAAAGCTCACAATATGGATGGGAGGCTCACAATTAGAGATGTAATAATATCCAAATCTCGTGGCACAATATTTTCATGATATACATCTCACACTACGATATTTATTGCAATGTTTTATTGCTAACAAAACTGTGAATATGTTACTTTTTCCTCTTAAAATGCCTTGACAAGACTTAATCCAAAGAACTAAGACTTTAAAGTGTTAGAACTGTTATTTCTTCGTGTAGACTGCACTGAAATGGAGCAAGGGATCATGGTTAATGTAGTTCCATCTGTCTTTTGTGAGCTGATGCAGTTCAGCTTCTGTCGGACTAAAGGACATGACTCAGTGGAATATGAGTGTTCTTTCTGTGACAGAGAGGTGTTCTGCTGATGGTGAGTCTGTTCTGTGCTTCTATCGCGTTGGACACTGCATCCACAATGAAAATGACTCGAATACGTACTAGTGTGGACGGAGCCTAAATCTGCAGGGTTTGTGCGTTAACCATGTGTGAATTGAACAAAACACAACTCCAAGTCTGTTTGTGTTGAGGAAACAACATTATAACATAGATCAATATACCAAAATTGACCAATATTAAAGCCAAACTGAAAGGTAATTTAAAAGTTTAAAGGTGACTTTTTTAGTGCAAAGTCAGCAAACCTCCATGGCTTTACCCGAAACTTTCCACAGTATGGCATTAACCGGTGACACCGAGTTATAAACCAGATCTGTAGACAAGCCCAGTCAGTTAGAGCGCAGTCTAATGCAAGTCTAATGCCAGAATGCAAGTCTAATGCCATACCATGGAACATTCCGGACCAAACAATAACATCTCCATGGAGACGCAAAGTTATAAATCAGATCTGTAGGTCCGTAAGTTCACGCAGTAAGACAGAATGTTTTTTTAGCAACAAAAACACTTGTAATTGAACAAATACAAGACAGAAACCTGCTTAAGTTTAATGCCGGACTGTGGAACATTCAGGACAAACAATAACATCTCCATGGAGACAGATCAGATGGCGGACACGCTCAAAAAGTTACAGAACTTGTCTTTAAGTTTGTCATACATATAAACACGAGTTGGTTTCATAACATTTAGAGTTACGTTACCATCTTGTCCTCGTCTTTCCATTCATTTCAGATTCTGTGAAATAATCCAATAAAATCTGGACTCTGGAGTAAAAATGTAGAATAGTCCACACGGAAAAGACGGGAAAAAAATGAAAATACTGTCCATCGTTTAAAAGAGGAGAAATAAAAATGAACGTCGGAGTGTGTTTCTGTTTTAAATCCAGCGGCGGTTTAGAGAGAAACACGAGGCTCCTTTCACCAGAAGAGCCCAGAGTGTGAGAGCTATGTTTGTCTGAAACGAACGACCAGCGGCGTGACTAAACACGACACAGGGACGGAGAGAGAGAAGGAGGGAGGGAAGGAGGGAGGGAGAAGAGAGGTGGAGTAGGGGAGAGGGAGAGAGGAGAGAGAGGGAGGAGGGAGAGGAGAGGGACAAGAGGAGAGGAAGAAGAGGAGAGAGAAGGAAAGGAGCAGTGTGATTAAACATGAGGAGAGAGGGAGAGAGAGAAAGAGAGAGGAAGAGAGGGGAGGAGAGGGAGTAAGGAAGGGAGGCAGAGTGAAAGGGAGGGAAAGAGAAAGAGAGAAGAGGGAGAGAGAGGAGAGAGGGAGGGAAAGAGAGGGATAGGGGAGAGGAAAGAGAGGGAGGGAGGGAGAGAGAGGGAGAGAGAGAAAGATGGAGAGGGAGAGACAGGGAGAGAAGGGAGAGAGAAGAGGGAGGGAGGCAGAGTGAAAGGGAGGGAGGGAGGGTGAGAAGGAGGGAGAAAGAGGAAAAAATAAGGGAGAGAAGGAGGGGAATAGGGAGGGAGAGGGAGGTAGAGAGAGAAAGCGAGAGGGTGAGAGAGGGGAGGGAGAGAGAAAGAAAGAAGGAGAGAGGGAGGAGAGAGAGAGGGAGAGGAGGGTGAGAAGGAGAGGAGAGGGAGAGGATGGAGGGAGAGAGGGAGAGGAGAGAGCAGGAGAGAGTGAAGAGAGAGCAGGAGAGGGAGAGAGAGAGACAGGGGGAGGAGGGAGGGAGGGAGAGAGGGGAAGAGAGAAAAGCAAGGGAGAGAGAGAGAAGAGGGAGAGAGAGAGGGGGAGAGAAGAGGGAAGGAGAGGAAGGGAGAGAGAAAAGAGGGAGGGAGAGAGAGAGAATAGGGAAGGAGAGGGAGAGAGAAAAGGATGGGAGAGTGAGTGAGGGAGAGGGGGAGAGAGGGTAAAGAAAGGGAGAGGGATGAAAAGAAGGAGAAAAAAGGAAGAGCGCTGGAAGATAAGAGAGAAAGAAAGGAAGAGAATGAGAGGAGAAAGTGTAAGGAGAGAGAGGGAAAAAAAGGAAGTGTAAAGGGAGTGTAAAGAGATGGAGAGAGGGAGACAGCGCAAAGAAGAAAGACAGAGAGGCAGGGAGAGAGTGAGGAAACAGAGAAAAAAGAGAGGGAAGGAGGTAAGGGAAAGAGAGAAACTGGAAAAAGAGAGAGAGAGAGCATGTGGTGAGTGTTTTGAGACTCGTGCAGCTGTACATTAAATATTCTGATAGAACCACTGGAGCGACTTTGAACTGTCAGAGGAATTAACCGTGACTCATGATTCTATAGGATTTGAATAAAGATTCTCATCATCTTTTCTGACCCAGAAAAGTGAAGAAAACTGTCACTGTAAGCAGGGTGAGAAAACGTATGGAAAATCAGACTAATATTGAAACTCATTTGAGCAGGAATCGATACTGAAAAAAGTCACATTCACAGGTCAGAAGTGAACGGCTCCTGAACAGTTTTAGAATGATCTTGAGTTGCATCAGAACGGTCTTTTTCGGTCTTAAATGATTTTTTTTTAAGATGCAATAAAAAGCGCACACCACAGAAACTAGGAAAATCTTATGAGTTTTTAAATCTCAGATCACAAAGACAACAGCAGGATCTGTCTGCAGATCACAGGATATAAAGTTGTGAGCGTGATTGTCAGCTCTTTCCTGTCTACAGTAAAACCACTCTCTTTGAGACTCTTACGTGTTCAAAAGATCAGACTCTGCACTTCTAGTTTAGATACAAGACAAAACTGTGTTATTATTATGGCTGTCACAAAAATCGCAAAAATGAATCACTGCAGTACTAAGAGGCCCACCGCGGTGCATGTTGGGCCACCGTGATCACCGCACGTGACCACCGTGACCCGACCCAGAGTCCTGCACAGGTCCATTTTTTGAGACTCGCACCCGCCCGGACCCATTAACATTCCACCCGTTACTGCCCCTGCCCATGATAACCCAAGACTAACCCAAGACTAACCCAGGACTAATCCAAGACTAAGCCATGACAAAGGTGCACCCGCGTAGACCGTCAGGTGACTGCAGGAGAAAGGTTAAGTGTGGTCGTTGCCCGATCACGCTTTGCGGACACCTGCTCCGCATGCTCGTGCTAGGGGCACTCTCTCTTAAGTGCGCGGGTACCTGACCTGGTGCAGGACCCTGGCCCGAGCTGCCGCAGTGAGAGCTGGAGAGATGCAGCGGCACTTGTTCCAAAGCCAAATGTTACTTCTCCCACACGACACACGCTATATCCACACGACAACCAAGGTAAATGTGCATCTGTGCAACAAGCGCATCATCAGAGAGAGTTTTCAGAGCCCCTAGAAATATGATAACTCCGGGGGATGTTGAGGAGGGGAGAGGGTGCGTATCGTTGCATACCGCGCTGTTGAGCCGCTATACCACACCGCAGGAGAAATTCCTTAACCACGACAGCCCTAGTTATTATTATTTGTGGAATGTGGTGCAACACTTCAGATACATGATTTTTAATGCTCAGAAGGCTGGAGATAAAGTCCACAGGAAGTAGAGTCACTGTTGCTGATCTGCAGCTTCACCTCGATCTATGCGCTGTGTGGATGTAAACAGACATGTGAGGAACTACTCCCACCTTTTTACTTTTAAAGAACGACTCAAACTGGATTAACAGTGCTGTTTTTATGGACTGGGGGTCATTATTTGCGGAGGACAAATTCCATGGATAATGTGGATGAGATGCTGCAGTTTAAATGTACAACTTTTTGAGAGGTAAGGAATAATTATTTTCATTATTTTCTGAGTTTGTATCTTGCGTCTCTGTGTCCATCACTCTGTCTGCCCCGATGCACTGTTTTATCATCTGATATCGTAGTGTTGCTGATGTTTGGTGGTTCTGATCTGACAGAGCAGCTCAGAGTCACACTGACATCACAAATAACACACAAAGACATAAAGTCGGGAGAAGTAAATCGCATCCAAAAGGAAAGTACTATTATATAATGTTGAAAATCACATTCAATTGTCTAAAGAAAGAGTTTTTATTATCACTGCAGTATTGGAATTGGTATTAAAGGATGATGTCAGATGTCAAAAGTTTTTCTAGGTATTTAAGAGCTGCAATTGAGTAAATGTGAGGTGGAGCTGTTTAATGTCACACTGCGGAACATTCCAGGCAAACCTTCCTAGAAACAAAAGTGAATAAAAGTGTAAGTATGTCTTTGAAACTCTAGTCAAACATAAGATCCTTGACCGAGCTTTGAACAGGCAACAGAAGCAGACGTGTTTATGACCGTCACACTGTGGAACTATAAGCAGTCTCTCCTTTCTCTCTGCACTCCTTCTCTTCTTCCTCGTCTCTCTCTCTTTTCTGGCCTTTCATCTCTCACTCTTTCTTTTTCTGCTCTTTCCTCCCCTTATCTCACTTTCTTCCCTCTCCTCTCTCTCCTTCTAACCTTTCTTTTCTCACTCCTCTGTCTCTCTTTTCCTACTCTTCTATTTCTCTCTTTCTACCCTCTCCTGTCTCTTTTTTCTACCCTTTCTTCTCTCTCCTCTTTCTCTTTCTACCCTTTCCCCTCTCTCCTCTCTCTCTCTTTCTATCCTTTCCTCTCTTCTCTCTCTCTCTTTCCACCCTTTTCTCTCGGTTTCTACTCTTTCTTCTCTCTCTCTCTCTTTCTACCCTTTCTTCTCTCTTCTTTCTACCCTTTCTTCTCTCTCTCTCTCTCTTTCTACCCTTTCCTCTCTCTCTCTCTCTATCTACCCTTTCCTCTCGCCCTCTCTCTTTCTTCCCTTTCCTCTCTCTTCTACCCTTTCCTCTCTCTCTCTCTACCCTTTCTTCTCTCTCCTCTCTCTTCTCTCTCTCCTTCTACCCACTCCTCTATCTCTTTCTACTCTTACCTCTCTCTCTCTCCCTCTCTCTCTCCCTTTTTCTACCCTTTCCTTTCACTCTCTCTTTTTTTCTACCCTTTCTTTTCTCTCTTTCTCGACCCAAAAGAGAATCTAAAAAAAAAAAAGGACCACCCTAATAAATACCAGCAAGAGCCGCAGCCACAAACAAAATAATAAAACCTGAATGATGATGTGGAGGTCACGGCAACTTCCGGAATAAGGTGAATTAGGGATGGGCATTCGATGAAATTTCATTAATCGATCATCGGGAGAATTAACGATAGATTATCGATTAATCATGAATGTTTTTATATTAAAATGATCATCATTATTATTACTGCTAATCTGCATAAATAAATTCAACTTTACAACAATTAAAACATAACCACTCTAGAGCCACATCAGCCCGTTTAATAATATAATGTGTTTAATGCAGATTTGTCTCACAGAAATGAAACTTAAAATCGCATGGCTAATTTGCATAAATAAAGCAAAGAAAAAAACAGCTCTTGTGCGCTGATGTGGTTCAACTTCTGTCGGACTAAAGGACACGACTCAGTGGAATAAGGTTAGGTTAGGGCGACCATATTTGCGTTTGTCAAAACCAGGACACCGTACGGGGCGTGGGAGGTGGGGCCTCATCATCATGAGCGACTCTCACCTGGCAAAGCTTTTTCACGTTTTTCATGCGCCACTGGACACCAAAACACATGTGTCTACTTTTTACACTGTGCACATGGCATCCCACTTGTTTCAACCGAGACGAAAAGCGAGGAATTTCTGGTACAAGTCATCGTTAGATGTGCATTTGTGCTTCGGCTGTCTGTGTCTGCTCGCTCCTTCTGAGTGCAGAGAGCTACAAGAGACACTCAGTTTAATGTCCCCAATGAAAGGAAATGAAAACCTGAACATTTGCATCACTTTATAAAAAAAGCCCGGACGGCCAGGACAACATGTGGAAAACGGACATGTCCGGGGAAAAACGGATGTTTGGTCACCCTATGCTACGCACAGAAACCTACATTCGGTTTGT